CAATCTACGATCATCAAATATACGTGCATCACAGCAGGTTGTCAACACTAATCCTAATCGTACGTATTTTTAGTTTAATTTATTTATCACACTTCCATACTACGACGGCATTTAATCTTACGTGGTCTTGCAAATAATGCGATTGTCCTGCACGTTAAACCAAGCGTACGCTCATTTAAATTAATATGCCGTGGTTTGGTGTGCATTTTTCATTCTGTTTTCATTTCCCTTTTCACACTTTTCTTGCCTGCTGAGCAGAAAATTCTTGACGTCCCGCCCAAACATTTTGAATTTTCATCACCGCCCAAAACATCACAGGATGACAAATCGCAAAAAGATCCTTATAGGTGCTCATCTATCGATAGCAGGCGGCATATGGAAAGTGCAAGAGCGAATGGAATCTCTCAACGCCACGACATGCGCACTCTTTCTAAAGAACCAGCGCAGATTTGCGTTCACACCGTTAGAACCAAAATCCATACAAAAATTCAAAAAGTTAGTAAAAAACGCCGATGTGCTCGTTCCGCACGGTTCATACCTCATCAACATGGCACGAAACGACAAGGCGGAAAGAAAGAAGCATTTCGAGTGCTTTCATGATGATGTTGCGCGCTGCTCATCGTTAGGAATAAAATTGTACAACGTGCATCCGGGGAGTGATGTCGATAACTTGGGGAAGAAAGCATTGGAGAACGTAGCAGATGCAATAAACGAGGTGAATAGGATGGAACCAAACGTTACTATTGTAATAGAAAACATGGCTGGTCAGGGTCGCGTGTTATGTTCCAAGTTCGAAGGAATACGTGATCTGATAGAACTTGTACATGATAAGAACAAGATAGGCGTTTGTCTGGATACAGCACATCTGTTCGGCAGTGGATATGATTTGCGGACGAAGGAGAAGTGCGAGAGAACGTTTGGCGAGTTTGACAGGATTGTTGGGATGAAGTATCTGAAGGCCATGCACCTGAACGATAGCAAAGAAGATCTTGGATCAAAAAAGGACCGGCACGAATCAATAGGAAAGGGAAAGATTGGGCTGGAGGCGTTTAAGTTTATAATGAAGGACGAGCGATTCGAGAATGTGCCTAAGGTTTTAGAAACACCTGATATAAGTTGCTATAAGGAGGAGATTGCGATGCTTAGAAGCTTTGCAGAGGATGATAAGTAAAAGTACAAAAATTAGAAAGAAATTTAGAAACGTTTATATTCTTGCCTGTTTATTTCTACACAAGAATGAGCGCAGCAATTGTTAGTCTGTTTAAGAATTATTTGCTATATGACGTTGTCTCCTACAGCTACACGAAAATATTTTTTATTTTAAACACAAAGACAATACTTTTACGATACTTTACACATCGTAATATTACTCTACTCCCCTCATTGGTAATTAAAGCACTTTCAGCGGTGTTACCGTTCACAAAATATGTGATAAATGTAAGTTTACGGTTTGATTTAAAATCGCGGCATTATTTAAATAGGTCATTGAGAAACAGCGAAGGCATTCCCAACATTGACAGTCACACACACTACATTCTCGTTAGAATTGCAAAAGATTCTCGCTCCGGCCAGGACTCGAACCCGGACTCTCCTGATTAGAAGTCAGACGCTTTAGCCATTAAGCTACCAGAGCTACCGCGGGTGAGATTTATACTATTTTATAGGCACATTTATTATTTCGTTGTTTACACCTGTAGAGTATAATTGCGTGTTTGTTACGACATATACGCATGTAAAATGGTTAAATCACTCATCGCAGCAAACGTGCGTTGTTAAAACGTCATAAGTTAATTTTGATATAGCCAAGATCGTTTGTATGGGAGCATCATTTAATATGTCAATGTCCATTTGTAAAATACCCTAAACTGAGGAATTCGTAAATCAGCCCTACATTTCTATTAATCACAATTTAATGTTAAATATGATTCATCTATGACAATCAATAGAAAAGACAAGAACAGTAATTAAATAGAAAAATAGTTATCACAAGTCCCTTGATCTATAATTAAGCATTTTAAAAGGATATTTTTGTTTATAAACGAATACATTAAACAGGTGTTAGATCAATAATTAATTAAATATGTTTCTTCAAAAAAAAGATAAAAGAATACGAAGGAATAAATTACAATCTCTTTGAAATGATCACTTTATTCTTACCGTCACACGTAATTCACCCAAAAATGCTTTTGTGGTCAACTGAGATTGATCATGACAGAGGCCTTCTTTTCATGGCATATCGTGATTTTACGTCTCTAAAACTTAAGTACATAGCTAATCTTAATTTATTGACAAAAATTAATGTTATTTGTTCATTGAGAGAAGAAATAGGTTATTTAAGCGTACGTGATCGTATTATTTGTATTTTTTGCACTAAAACATTTCCTTTCCAAAGAGTTTATTAGAAAGACGATGTTCAGAAGAGCGTGAGAGATGATGTGATGAAAAAAATGAAGTAGTGGAGCAACAAAAAACTGAAAGAATAAACAACTCATGTTTAAATTGAAGAAAATGTAAAAAAACATACTTTTAGTTGAAAAACGATGCCTCCTCATCCAAATCCCTAAGAAAATTAAAAGGCGTGCCCCTGGCAAATGAGAGAAATCATAACATTACAAATAGGACAGTGCGGCAACCAGATAGGTTCGTCGTTTTGGCAGCGTTTGTCTTCACTCCATCCAAAATCGCAGCCCTCGCAGTTCTTCTACCTTGCCGATGATAACATGCCAGTACCGCGTGCTATCCTGCTAGATCTTGAACCACGTGTAATTTCGCAGATCACCAGCACAGGCCTGTTCAACCACGAAAATATTTTTGTGTCGAACGAGGGCGGTGGCGCGGGCAACAACTGGGCAAGCGGCTATTTGTGTGCGCGGAGCAGGAAAAATGAGATTTTTGAAATGATACACAGAGAGAGTGAGAACAGCGACATGCTAGAATCGTTTTTTATTCTGCACTCGATTGCCGGTGGTACAGGCAGCGGCATGGGATCGTATCTGATTGAGGAGCTGCGAGACGAGTTTCCGAAAAAAATGCTGCAGTCATTTTCAGTGTTTCCGAACAACGAGGAGGTATCTGACGTGGTTGTACAGCCGTATAACTCTGTGCTTACGTTGAAGAGGCTCAACAGGTGCTGTGACAGCGTTGTTGTGATGGATAACGCTGCTCTTGGACGGATTTCGTCCGAGTCCCTGCGTATAAAACAGCCATCGTACGAAACGATCAATTCTCTGATCAGCACGGTGATATGTGCGAGTACCTGCACACTGCGCACGCCAACCTACATGTATTCCGATCTTAGGAGCATCGTGAGTACGTTGATACCGGTCAACGGCCTAAACTTTATCGTTCCATCGTACACTCCATTCATAAACAAGGACTGCGCACAGATCATACGAAAGACCACCGTAAACGACGTGCTTAGACGGCTCATGATGAGTAAAAACAAACTCGCAGGCATCGACACACGCGCAATCATCTCCGCCCTCACATTCTTCATCAACACGAACGAGATTGGCGAGGTACAGCGCAGTATTATTAGAATGCAGGACAAGCAACTCGTAGGATTTGTTCCGTGGATGCCGCCCTCGTTCCACGCGGTAGTGTGCCAGGAGGACAATGCGGCTGAACAGCAAGTGTCCGGCCTTTCTCTCACGAATTCAACGGGCGTGTCAGCGCTTCTCCGCAAAATTTGCGAGCAGTACGACAAGCTGAAGAAGAGAAACGCGTTTACTGAGATTTATAGGAAATATTTGGACGGTCTTGAAGAGTTTGATGCGAGCCGTGAAGTGGTTGAGCAGCTGATAGCGGAGTATGAGAGGTGTGAGTTAACGTCCTTCTGTGAGAGATAGGTGTGTTTTATAATGCAGACGCTCTTTTCGGCTGTGTGGTGTATGCGGGTCTATCTATGTCTTTTAAAATAAAATTTGATCGCCGATTTTTTCTTTGCTGAAAGGCACCGCGTGCAGCCCTGCCAACACTAAATGATTGAGAACGGCTGTTATTACGGGCATTACGTTCACTTTGATGGAACATAAAATGACGAGATTCCCCCTTCTAAGAATAAATCGTACGATTAAAATCTGCGAGCAACGCTCCAACAAAAAGAAACGATTTTTCAGGGCAAGTCCTGCATTATTATCAATAATCGTATTTCTAAGTGCTTCTCCTTCTAATGCCCGATCGTTTGCATCTCTAAGATTGAAAATGATTGAAACAGTTAACCTGCAGTAAATGTAGAACTACCGTCCCCTTCAACAACAAATAGTTTTATTACCGCCATAAACACCCTCTAACGTGTAAGATACTGCAGTTATAATGATTATAATATTTATTATACTATCTATACTGAGTATAGTCTTAAGACTATAGTCCTCAAAATGATTATAACTTTTACCATCCTCTTAACACTAACCATTGTCTTTA